GATCTTACTAGTAGATTTCAATGGTTCTCTCCCATTAATGTCTAGCTCTATCTAATATAGTGTACTAAAGGGAGAATTTTGTCCTTGATAGAGCACTTTGTTAAGATTGGTTAAAGGCAGCTTGCTGGTCTTGGTAGAGTCTGTCCCCTTGATTTAATAATCATAAGTGTTCATTGGACTTATCACCTTGTCTTCAGAGAGCCTAGCAACCTGAAACCTGATATGGCATCAAAGTATTAACAATCGTTAGATGCAAAGACACTGTGGATTTGGTCTATTTTAAGAAACAAGCTAACCTCTTAGAAGCAAAAATCAGTCAGCAGTTTGTCACTCCTCTTGAGCTATACAGGAAAGAATAATCTACTAGATTTTTTAGAGCAAGTGTCTGTATCCTGAGAATGCAGTCTTTGAAAACAGCAAGTGAGCATGGCAGACGCTTTCTAGAATATCAGCCATGCCTCTGTTCTGACTCATATGAATGTTTAGCTTTTCTGTTTTCCATTTAGAAAATAGACTTTCTGGGTTTAACAGTAATTTGACCTCTGCAGTGCCCATCATTAGTTTAATAAAAGGTCATACTCTTCACGTGTCAAAACTAGCTTGAGCAGAAATACGTTTGTGAAGCACAGTGCTGGCAGCTTTGGTTGGATAGCAATGGCGGTTAACTACAATAATGGAAGGGCACCTGTCTAAGCACTGGTGACTTAAAGTTTTAATGTCTTTCTCTTCATCTTTACATTCTTGATATTTCTTTTTTTTTCTTATAACAAGCATAATATTTGGTGTATTTGCAAGTGTATCTCATGGGATAAACATGGCAATTTTGATTATTCAGGCCTGAGGCTGTCATATCGTGTGACTCTTTAGTAGAAGTCTTTGTTTTATGCTTTTTATGCAGATTCTCTTATCTTCCTATCCTCAGAATCTGACTTAAATTTGGGTACTATTCATGACAAAAGAAGGAAGAAGATTAATTTAGTTTCTTTTAGTAAGCTGAGATATTAGCGAAGAGAAAGTGGTGCTATGTATTATTATATCCCTCTGAGAATAAACACTTTTACTTGCCTCAAGCATTTGTTGGAGTTATTAAGTTTGGTCTTCTCTCTTTCTCATTTCTTTCCTTTGGATGGCTGCCTAGGCTTGACATCATCAGTCTCAGAGTTTGACCAGCCAAGATGATTATTTATGCAACAAACTTGCTTACTGAAGGAATTTTACTGTAGAATCTAGAAACCAAACTTTGTATCATAGAATAATGGACTTCATCCTTTTTGTGGTTTGAATTTTGTGAGAAAAATTTTGTGAGAAAAATTCATATCAGATCCCATAAGAAAATCATGATTTTTTTTTTGTCTGTGAGGCTAATGCCTTAAAAGAAAAAAAAAAAAAAAAAAAAGCTCTGTGTACAAGCACTTGATACACCTTTCTTTTTAATGTAGTGTGATCAGTTTCATTTATTGTTTTCAAATAATGCATTTAAGGACTTTTTCAATTGTTGTTGTTGTTGTTGTTGTTTTTGAAGAATACCAAGTCACTGCAGTGGCATTTAGTAGGACTTAAGAAAACAGTCCCAGACTTAAAGCAGATTTTAACTGGTTATTTTAATAAATTTTCCACAGTTCAGGGGTTAATTTCATTAGTCGACCTCTTCTCCAAAGCCAAAATCTTTATGGTAGCATCCAGTGGTCATATCACTGGCAGATTTGAATATTTGTGAGTATTAGCATTAAAACTTCAACGTATGACCAGAAAATGAAGATGAGTGAGAAACACACCTGAGCATTGGGATAATAGTCACATTTCTCCTCTGAGAATACAGAATTTGCCTTCTGCGCTTCCCATGTAGAAGTCAGATTCCTGTGTGTAATAGTAATTTGACTCCTTTGCACCCCACTCACCAGGATTTAGGAAGCCCTTGTTCTAGTAGCCATTGATTATATGGAAGGTGTCAGAAACTTGAAATCTCCTATTTTTTGTGTGAGAGAAATAGGAGGCTGTCTCTTAAAACCAACAAACATAACAAAACCCTGTACAGCAAGAATGACATCCTGTATTTTAGATGTATTTAATTTCTGATTAGTACATAGATGTTATATATCATATCCTTTTACCTCATTCACACATTCTTGCAAGGAATTTCAAAACAGAACTTAAAGGAGAAAACAGGTTGTTAAAATTCATTTTCATTAAGCGTGGAATATTTTTAAGCTATGTATTTTGAAAAGGTTCCCAAAATGAGTGTTACAGCATTTGATACAGCAATGAGAAACATTTTATTTTTCCTGGGAAATTCCCTAGGAATTTTAATTGCATAATTATAATTTCCATATTAGATGGTGACAAATGTGTGGTTATTATCAATTTGCATTGTTTATAACAGCAGCATGAAAAACATAGAACACTTCTAATAGAATTTTGTTTGTTTCCAGAAAAGTGACATCAAAGTACAGTGTTTGTTGTTGTTGTTGTTGTTTTTAATTCTTCTCACTGTTAGTCCTTTCAAATCATTTTAAGTATGTCCAGCAGCGTTTTTTTAAATTTTTTAAATGTTTATTTATTCTTCAGAAAGAAAGAGACAGAGTGTGAGCAGGGCAGGGGCAGAGAGGGAGAGAGACAGAATCCTAAGCAGACTCCAGGCCCCCAGGTGTCAGCACAGAGCCCAGCGTGGGGCTGGAACTCACGAGCTGTGAGATCATGACCAAGCCAAAGTCAGATGCTGACAGAGCCACCTGGCACTCCTGAACTTATTTTCAGCAGTTCTGGCAGTCAAAGAGTTTGTGCTTCTAGCCAGATATGCTGCCGGATGTGCTATTTCTAACAACAGGGACCCGTGTTCCTATCAGTTCCATTGTCACCAAGATGAATTTGCTGATGAGGTGGAGACTCCGTTCCCAGCACTAACATTACAGAGATGACTCTTCTTATTCTTCATTCTCTCTCTCATGGTGGAAATAATACACTAAGCTAGGAAACCCCAAAATTGGAAGGGATCTCTGAAAAATAATTTATTTTACACTTCATATTTTTACAATTTAGAAACAGAAAAGTTAGGCATCTAATGGATGATGCATCTCCATTGTGGTGAGGCTGGGATGTGGGTCTGGTTTCCCTGACTTCAAGAAAACCAAGATGAGAGTCAGAACATACCATCAAGCCGGCAAGAGCATCACGTGGGAAACATGAAAACAAGGCAGAGAAAATAATGGGGTTGAGCAAACAGTGATGAACTTTGTTATTTTCTTCTTCCTTAAGGTCTAATGATTATTTTCAAGTTAAATGTAACTATAATTACTTAAAACCATTTTTCAGTAGAATTTCACTGAAAAACAGTAGGAGAGAAAATTTGTAAAAGGGATATGAAAATAGAAAATGAAATGGAAAAGATGGTTTTGAATTTTTCAAAATTCTAAAAAATTAAAAGAGGCAGGTGGTGCCTAGGTGGCCCAGTCAGTTAAGCGTCTGACTCTTGGTTTCAGCTCAGGTCATGATCTTACAGCATATAAGTTCGAGTTCTTCCTTGGGCTCTTTAGTGACAGCGGAGTCTGCTTGGTCTTTCCTGTCCCTACCCCTCTCCTACTTGTGGTTAGACATAAAAAAAAATCTAATTGTTGGGGCACCTGGGTGGCGTCGGTTAAGCGTCCGACTTTGGCTCAGGTTATGATCTCACAGTTCGTGACTTCTAGCCCCAAACCAAACCGAAAACCAAAACCAAAAAAAAAAAAAAAAAACTCTCAAGGATGCAAGAAAACTTTGAAGTAGGAACAATAACGAATATACCTACCCCCTAAACCACCATTCATGTTTTAGCACATTTTGTTCTGTGTTTTTTTGGGTGAATTTTTCCTTATTATCTGATACCTCTCTATATAATTTTGTATGATGCTTTTGTGGCTTATCATTGAATCATAAATATTTCTCATGTCATATTATAAAGAGTTTATCAATATAACATTGACTATTTCTAGAATGTTCTATCATCATACCATAGTTCATTTCACTGTCAATGCCAATTTTATTTGATATTGAGGGTACTTATATAGTCTTTGATAAATAAATGGTACAATGAAGATCTTTATGCATAAATACCCATTTACATTTTATTAAATTATCATGTAAAAGATTTCTGGATCTGGAAATGCAAGATGGATAGTAAGTAAGTTTTGAAGAAAGGGTGAATGTTAGGAATATCTTAAGGAAGTGGAGAATGCTTAAAGTCTCTAACTTCTGGCCTTTCATCTTTAGAAATCTTTAAGTTTAAATCTCCTTTTTTAACAAAAATAGTTGATTTTATTTTATTTTGTATTGTTTTGTTTTATTAGTTTTTAATTGTTATTTATTTGGTTAGTTATTTATTGCTGTGACTTTGGAGGCTTCTTGATGCCTCTTTTATGCAAATTGTGAAGTTAAATTTCAAGTAAGGCAGCGCACACTATTTGAGTTAGAGAGTCACTTTACTATTTTTCCCTCTTTCTGTTTCTTGCCAAACCTTCTAATTCAGAGCTATGTTTCTTATCCCTTTATAATTTCCTAGAATTTCCCTTAAATGTCACTAATTTTAATGGCTTAGCAGTGGCAATGCTGCTTTCTGGCAGTGCCCTGATAGCAGCATCAAAGCAAAGAGCTAAAATTTTACTCACTTTGATTGATGAGCTCATGTTGTTACAGAGGACAAATTGGATTTTTTTAATACTGGAAATAAAAATTAATGTGTGATGTTGCTTTTTGGATGTTATTGGAACTCTGCCTTAATATAGATTTCAGCAACAAAAACATTACCAGATAACTTGACCAGAAAGTTAACCTCCATCCCTTTTAAACTACCGTTGCAAGTAAAAATTACTTTTCTAATTTTGTAATCCAGGTGTGTGCATGTATGTATGTATGTATGTATGTGTTGGCCTAATCAAGGTGGAGGGCTGTGAGGAGAGTGGTGGCAGTAGGACAATGCTTTATGTTTCAATTTTCCATCTAATTGCCATGTTTATTTCTTTGTATTTCAGCACCTCCAAGGTTTACAAGAACTCCTGTTGACCAGACAGGGGTCTCTGGCGGGGTTGCCTCTTTCATTTGTCAAGCTACAGGAGACCCAAGACCTAAAATTGTCTGGAACAAAAAAGGGAAGAAAGTCAGCAATCAGAGATTTGAGGTATTAGGTCCATTGTTCTGTTTCTCTGGGGGAAAAATGTATCCGCTGTATCTTTGGTTTGTATATTACTTGCTTGTTTTATTTTGATATAAAGTGCTGTCATCACTGAGATATGGCATTCTTTTTGTTGCTTGTGTTGGAAAATTTAATTCTAAATGGCATTTTTAAAAAGGAATTTGGGGGTTCAGGTGACTAACTTTTGTATTTAATTGTACCCGGCTCAACGTGTTCCTGGTATCCATCTGTTAGCCTCATCCTCAGACTGTTCCCCTTTAAAATTGCAATATGGGAGTCTCACATCCTCCCACAACCAAGTCTAGAATATGAGTGAAAGCTTCTGATGCTATCAGCTCTTACTGAATTACGTGCTTATCCTTGGACAAGCTTGTATATGGACAGCTGGATAGTACAGGCCAACCAATTTAACTTAATCTGAACCTACCTCTGTTGCTGGGAATGAGGTTAATTTCATCCAACCTCATGGCTTCGGAATAAGAGGACAATGTCTACCCATAGGGAATTAAGATGCCTATTACAAGGAAGAAGGGGAATGGATACTGGACAGCCAATGAAGTTGTCCACTACACCTCACACCTGTGTTTTACAAGTACCAGAAGCTAAAATGAGAAATTAGCTTCAGTGTGTTAGTCTAAGCACTACTCTGGAAGAACATACCCAATCAGGTTGATATTGCAGTTAAACTTGTTGAACAAATTACTCAGGAAAGCTCAGTGAGTTAAAGATAATGAAGCATAACCCAGCTATTTTTTGGGTGTTTTTTTTTTTTAATTTTTTTTTAAAAATTTTTTTAATGTTTTATTTATTTCTAGGAGAGAGAGAGACAGCATGAGCAGGGGAGGGTCAGAGAGAGAGGGGGTCACAGACTGAAACAGGCTCCAGGCTCNGAAACTAACAAAAGTGGTGGCGGTGGGAGTAACTGCACAAATCGTGGTGGGGGGGACAGAATGGGAGGGAGAATTTTGACTGAGTGCCTTTTTATACTTTTTTATTTTCCAACCATGTAAATATATTTGCTGTTTTTTTAATATATTTTTATTTATTTCTAGGAGAGAGAGAGACAGCGTTAGCAGGGGAGGGTCAGAGAGAGAGGGGGTCACAGACTGAAACAGGCTCCAGGCTCCGAGCTGGCAGTCAGCACAGAGCCCGACGCGGGGCTCGAACCCACGAACCGCAAGATCATGACCTAAGCGAAAGTCGGACGCTTAACCGACTAAGCCACCCAGGCGCCCCATATTTTTTGGGTGTTTTTAAGGAGAATAATGGTACAGAAATTTGTAGAGAAAAATTGGAAGAATCACACAATATTACGCCTGAGATTTACGACCTAAGGAGGAGAGCTTGATTCTTAGAGAATACAAAGACCTCCAAACTGCCCCAAATTATAAAACTCACTTTCTTTTACCTGAGTTTCTGACATACTCCATAGACTTATATGCAGTTTGGCAAATTAAAGGCCATTTCTAGTTAAAAGAAACATAGCAAGTACAAAATTCAGAACATTTTCCACCAGTTTTCACAGAGCAGTAAATAGCCCAGATGCATAAAGGGTATAATTAATTATACCGGCAAAGTTTGAAACATACACTCTGGTTTATAAGTGATAAATGTAGAATTATATTTATTTGAAAATCAAATGCCTACAGTGATTTAAACATAAAAAAATCATAATCTTTGAGAAATAGTTCTTATGTAGAAAATGATGTGTGTGTCTATGTGATCTTTAGTACATTTTTTAGTTTAAATGAAATTGAATTTTTTGATAAAAAGCAGTTTGACATCATACTTACTGTTGACAGTAGCTTCTTGACAAAATATTACAATCAAGATTTAATTATAATAGTAAACATTCCAAAGCATGAGCTCTGCTCATTATGTAATTCCTAATGAGAGTTATATAAACACAGCCAAAGAAAGTTAATTATTTTTACATGGAGCACTTACAGCAAATAGTATTGAGTCTTGGGTTGAGAATCTTTAAAACCTGGACTAGTGTATATACATGTTTTAGTTTTGCTACTTTATAAAGTCTATGAGAACTCTACGTGAGCTCTCTTCTTCTATCTCCAGTGGCTAATACAATGTCTTGCCTAGAATAGGTGCACAATTGATATTGGATATTAAAGAAGGTTTTCAAATTGGAAATCACAACCCTAGCTCAATCTGTAGTTTATTGTTTTGTTGTTGAAAAAGGGTTGGTCTAACTCTAGGAAGTAGTTCAGAAATGTAACCATACAGTAAAACAATTAATCAAAGGTGATTAAGAGAGTAGATTCTGAGGCTTCTCGTCATAGGAAGAAAACATTTTTTTTCTTTTTTATTGTATCTATTTAAGATGATGGATATTAATTAAACCTATTGTAGTGATCATTTTATATATTTGTAAATTAAAACATCATGTCATATGCCTTAAACGTTAAGCAGTGATGTTTGCCAATTATTTCTCAATAAAACTGGAAAAAATTGAAATTTAAATTGCCATTAAGGATGTTTAAACCTTTCTCTACATTAAGCTGTGAGATGTTTATAAATATATATCTTTTTACTTATGGCACAGTTGGCTATGATTTCAGTAACTATGAAACCTTTTAGTTCCAAGATGCATAGTGGATTCTTTCTAAAATGTATGCTTAATAGAGTTGAAAATAAATCATGATGCATTGAGAAGTGGGACATTTTGGCTATCTTTGTGAATTTAAAACGTAAATGGAATGCAGAAAGTACTTGAAGCGAATATATTTTAAAAACATCCAATATCTTTCTTCCATATATTGACATAAACACATTTAAACACAAAATCTGGGATTGAGGATGCCAATAAGTGTATTTATAAGGCAGTCTCAATTCATAATATAGGTACATAAAAGTATTAGACACGGGAAAATGCCAAAAAAAAAAAAAAACACTAAAACCAGAAAGCACAGCAATTCAGTGAGCAGCTGAAAGAACACAGCACAGTTATAGAGAAGACAAGTAGCAAACTCCACAGTTTTGTATTCATGTTTATCAATATCATCATCATTATCATTTTTTAAGTAGTTCTTGAATTAGCTGACAAATATCTAGGATTGCTAAACCATTTCAGAGTATAGTCCATAATGATAGTGAATTCAGGCTTACTCTTTAGGACATTAATTTTCTGCCCGGTGAAGCAAGCCTCCATTTTACAGCAAGAATGCCCTAAAAATGCAGAAAACAGTAAGTTAGAACAAATACTGGCATGATCTATGGTAAAATTAATGCATGTCATCAGTCTCTTGGGTTGTGAAAGCCATCTTCTTGGCTGCCTAAATATTAGATTTATGCAGTTTCTCTTCATGGTTTGCTCATCTATACTGTTCAGGGTGAAACATTTTAAACCAGAAGTGCTCTCTCTGGTGGCACACATTACATCTTCACCTTACAGTCCAGTTATTGAGTGGATCCACATATGCATATGTGCTGTCAAAGACAGAATAATTTGAGAAAGCTATCCATCCTAGCAGCAAGTCCCTTGCATAATTAATAGGGTCAAATTGCCCTGGATACACCTACTAGACTGTTTTCATGAGTACACTGTTGATGGTTTTCAGTAGACTTCGCATTTGTAGTTGCATGTTTTTCTTTTTGTTTAGAAGAAGATTCATTAAATTAAGCCAATTATTCTGGTTGGCTACTACGTATCAAAATTAAGTCTTAAAATGCTGCTGTGTTTATTCTGAGCCTAAAAACTGGCTCACCACTGTATTAAGAGGTTTAGCTGAGAGGTAGACGATTGTAACAACACCTGTGACAGCTATTGTTTCCTCTAATAGGTAATAGAGTTTGACGATGGATCTGGATCAGTTCTCAGAATACAACCCTTACGGACTCCGCGGGATGAGGCCATTTATGAATGTGTGGCCTCGAATAACGTGGGAGAAATAAGTGTATCCACCAGACTCACAGTTTTGCGTGGTAAGAAGCCTGTGTCTTTGTTTAAATTCTGTATCCCTGGTGTTCTTTTGTAGGACCACTAAAAAGATTACGATGTCATAAGAGTTTAATAATAAATGAATTTAAATACAATGTTTATAAGGGTAAAATCTTTAAACTTAGAGTGGGTGCCTTTTCTCATAAGTCTTGAAATAATACTAACCAGGGAGAGAAAAGAGAATCTCAGAGAAGTGCTGATTTCCAATACCAGATATCATTCATGATTTTTGGCACTGTGCTTGGAAAGGAAACAGGGCATGCTAGTCTTTTGCATGTTAGCATTGCTTGTGTATGGACTTTTTGTACCAAGTTTGGGAACTAATTTCTGCAGATTTGCTTTGATTCTTGCAAAATTAAAGGAGCATCCTCTACCTAAAGATTAGTTCCTCTTAAACAGAGGAAATGAGAAAAAGAGACACCTTTCTTCTTTATGTCAAAATGTGTTGTTATTTTACTCTTTTATATATTTTGAACTAACATCTGTTAATGCAAGTGAGTGGAAATAGTGTGTCCCCTTTTGTGTTTTCGGCTATGTGGCTTATGCAGTTTGACTAAAGTACGAGATGACTTCCCAAATTTGCAATACTAGAAAGTGTGCCTACTTTTGTGACTTTCCTTAGAATAGCAGTTGTAGAGAATAAAGGCAAGAGATTAATAATACTCCGTTTTATATTTCTAAATTAATATTTTGTGTAGAGATAAGAATATCACCTCAATTAGCTTAGCTGGTAGTTGATATCCTCAAATTAACACTTCTGTGAATTTATCTCTTACTCTCTCTCACACACACTTTTATTTCTTTGTTTATTTTGAACTTCGTTTTGATTAATTCCACTACTTATGATAATAGGCTTTCTTAAGATGAAGTTTATTTATTTTGAGGGGGTGGGTTGGAGTGGTAGAGAGAGGGGAGACAGAATACCAAGCAGGCTCCACCTTGTCAGCACAGAGTCTCATGCGGGTCTCAAACTCACAAACTGTGAGATCATTACCTAAGCTGAGATCAAGAATCAGATGCTCAACCAACTGAGCCAGGCACCCCCAAAAATGTTTTAAATAATGTAAATGTCTTGCTAAGTCTGAGGAGAAATATTGACCAACTTAATACAGATCTTTTTTTTTCTTTCTTTTAAAAAAATAATGTTTGTTTTTTTTAAATTTATTTCTGAGAGAGACAGCATGATCAGGGGAGGGTCAGAGAGAGAGGGAGAGACAGAATCCAAAACAAGCTCTAGGTTGTGAGCTAAATGTCAACACAGAGCCCGACGCGAGGCTTGAACCTACAAACTGCATGATCATGACCTGAGCCGAAGTCAGACGCTTAACTGACTGAGCCACCCAGGTGCCCCAGTACAGATCTCTTAAATGAATATAATAGAATCCTGCTTAAAACAACTTAAGTCATATTTGAGCTACATTTCTGTCCATTATGACAAGCTACATTGATATTCAATGTTCTCATCCTATAAATATATCTAGATGTTGATAAAATACATCTGAAAATAAAATTAAATGCATGATTAGGCTTGCAAACAATAAAGAAGTTTCCAGGTGCTACAGACAAAGAGAGAATCTCCAGAGAATAGATAATTTATAATCTCATAAGCCAACATAATAACTACAGGACCATATGCTTTAGGGGTGGCATGTTAGCTCTGCAGCACACAGGCCTATGTAATACAAAGTGAAAGTAACAAGAGCTAGATCAGCTTTTTGCATAAAAGTGAGAATTCTAGCGTTACTTCTACGATGCCATCCTCAGAACCCAGAATTGAACTTCAAAACTGGTCAGATACAGTGACTCTCATAGAGCTTGAAATAGGCAACCCTAATAGGTACTCACCCCACAGAGATGCCCCACAATTCAAGACATACAGCCCTAGATAAGGTCATTCATTCCCAGATGGGCTCAGAACTACCAGTTCTAAAGCATGAAAGCCAGTTTTAACTCATTAAGGACAGTAAGCCAAATCAACAAGAGTAGAAATCATGATCTGATGAAGTACAGATAATGAACCGTATGAATGGGTTTGGAAAGAAATGCATTTAAATATTTGGAAAGGTAATGGAAAGACTAAAATCTCTCAGGCACGAACAAAAAATAAGGGAGAAAAGAGAACAGATGGGATTTAGAAGTCAGGTTTTGCAGGTGGAAGGAATCTTACTATAAACCTATACTACAGAATATATGTACATATGTGAATATCCATATATGTGTTCATATAAAGTTAAATAATAGATCTAAAAATTGTAGAATAACCTTCAGGTGTTCACATCTGAAGCAAACTCAAGAGTATTTGTTGATTTTCTTTTGACATTTTAATCTTCATTTCTTCACCTAGTTTAGAACTAATGCTGTTATGCAAAAAGTATATTACAAAGATATAATAAGTAAAATTTATCACAAACCCTTGCAACTCACTTGAATTCACCCCTTAAAAGGAAGCAATGACAGTTATTTGGCTTGACTTAATCTTCATGCATGTGATGAAGAGATTAACAAAAAAGTGGAGGAAAATACCACTGTACTTAGACTTTCACATGGATTTATATTTTCCTACCTCCCAGCTGATGTACTCATCTACTTTTATTCAACTAGCTCTCACATAAAACAAATACACTTGAACATTTTGATATAATCTTAAGTTTCTATGTGAATATCTGTCATATATAAGTGCATTTTTCTGAAAATTTATGATTCTAGTAAAGATAGTTAAAACTTTAAACCTTTTTTTTTTAAAGACTATGTTTAGCAGTCTTGGAAATGTTTCATGAGAAAAACTCAAAGGTATTTTGGAAAATGGAAAAGTAGTCTAAACATAACTTAAAATAGAAAACTTTCCCTGTACCCCTGTGGGATGAAATAAATGGGGTTGGGAATTATCTTTGTCTCCTAGGCTTACCTCTTTGTTTAAAATTTCTAAATAACTATTCATAATTCCATTAATGATAGTCTTGAAAAAATATTCCAGTAGCATAATCATATTTGTAGAATATGGGCAAGGTGAACAGTTAATTAAAATGAATGTGAAGAGTTTCCTACTACCATTGATGAGCTTTGTGCTCATTTTAAGTTCACTTGCTTTTGCAAATCACCTTGGCAGATACTCAAGCTCCCTGCTCTGCAGTTGGCTGAGACTGCTATACACTTTCAGTCAGTGGTCCTCATCAGACACCCATTTCATCCACATGGGTCATTTACTTTTTTGCCTACTTTGCTGACAATGCCAAAAATGTGCCAACTGTCATGATGGGTTTTGTCTAAGTGGACTGGATGGAGATCACTAATTTATTTCACACAGGCTACTAGAGAACCTAATTAATTGGAGATTTAAACATCTGAACTGTGTGGCTAATGCAGAAGACATTGAAATAATACTCTGACCACCCATGTGCATTAAAGGGAGTATTTCAGGAGAAAGTTTCCCTCTGTAGCTCGCTTCAAATTACCCTAGCTCTGAAAAACTGTTTTCATAAGGAACGATAACGATAAGCTCAGGCTGAACATGCCCTGGAATGAGATATTTAGGCAATTACCATTTATACATTGTGCACTGTAGTTCATAGAAGAAGTGGTAGGAGAATGGGGAGTTGAATGCACTACTTATGGCCTCTAGGTCATATTTTAATTTTTTTGGCTGCTCTGCCTGTGGAAACACAGACAAATACCAATCCTCTCTTTATACAGTACTTTAGGACACTGAGCATATCTGTCATACACATGTTTTCCCTCCTCAGCAGAACTTTAACTAAACGCTTCAGATATCACTGAGGGGTTATTAAGGCTTACCTAATTATAGAATTTGAAGGACATTAGATTACAAATTAAGCTTTTAAAGGGACAAGTAAGACCAGAGAGGGTGTTTGAAGAAGGGGATTATTATCCAGATGGATTTAGCTCTTTCTGAATCTTTGGTTCACTGGTCATAATTTCAAACCGGCCAAAGATTATTAGGGGGAAGTCTTGTAGTATAAATTCATGTAATGACAACTGGAATTGAGAATGTTCTCTCAGAATTGAGAATGTTCTCTCAGATACATGTTACCAGCACTGGGTCAGGGAAAATGAGATATTACCAATTTTGCATCTAACTGACTAAATGTCATGTTTCTTGAATTTAGATATTTTTAAGGTAGTAATCAGAAAATACACATATTACTGTCATCCAAAACAGCATGTAATACATTACTTTTTAAAGTTTAGTGGATTATTTTTGGAGACTTGTCCATTCCCAAATATCACTGCCCCCCAAAATACCACCAGCACTACCACAACAAAACAGGATATAATATATAATATTGTTGCTCTTACCTACTTAAAGGAGACTAGCTTTTTCATACAACACAAATACACTAAAATTACTGTCTTAAAAAAGTTAGTTAAACAAATATGAGACAACTTAATTACCTGCTTTTGCGGATATATTTTATGAAGCAATGCTTAATATTTACTCCACACAAATGTGTTATATGTTATGAATGTCCACCATCAAGACATGAGACAAAATACAAAGTTCTCAAGTCTTGATCAAAGGTAATTTGAGTTCCAAATCTAGCTTTGTCCCAAGGTAGCTGTGGCATCTTGAGCAGATGTGTTAACTTCCCCACTTCCTGTTCTTTTTACTCCCCTTTCTCCTCTTCTACCCCCACTGCTTCCTCTTCCTCCTCTTCCTTTTCCTTCTCCTCCTCCTTCTTCATCATTATTATTGTTAAAATTTTTTATCTTCCCATGCACAGAGAAGGTAAATACATTGGACTAGGATCACTCAGATCTCTTTTCTCTAGCTTTCTAGATTCAGCAACATGCCTATTTCATAATCTGGTTCTTGCAAGATGGAAAAAATGTGCTCCCTGAAGGTGACTGTTACTGAGATAGTAAAATACACAGTGAGCAGTTGCATGAGACAGAGAAAGCATTTCATTGGGAAATGGAGAGAAATGTTTGCATAATATGTCGGTTTAAAAAATGTAAGCCATTATGG